TGCCCTCTGCTGCAGCAAACAGGTCTGACCACCCCGGCTCTGTAATTAACCAAGTGCAGGGGAGTGTGGTGAAATTACAATCTAAGTGAGATGAAGTGATTGCTGTTTCTGTGTCTGTCCCCTTGGTGTCCCCTTCCTGCGCTTCAGGAATTCATCCAGCACAAAACAGGACACCTTCAGGTGAAATATGGAATCCCAGACTGGGTTGGGTTGGGAGGAACTGTAAAGCTCATCCAGTGCCACCCCTGCCACGGGCAGGGACACCTTCCACCAGCCCAGGGTGCTCCAAGCCCCGTCCAACCTGGCCTGGGACACTTCCAGGGATGGGAGAGGGGAGGGAAACCAGGAGAAACAGGGGAATAGGGGGGCGGAATTTCAGAAAACAAGCAGTAAAATTCAGAACAATGGATATTTTTGGTGAAAAGTGAAATTAAATTTTGATTCTTTCTAACCCTGAAGTGATGGAGACCGGGACATTTGTCTCCTGACAGATGGCTCAAGGCACCTTGGTGGCAGAGTTTGAGGTTCAGAGACAAAGAGGATGTTGTGCCCTGGGTTATCCATCCAGGATACCATCTCCCCATCCATCCAGGGACTCGTCCTGGCCACCTCTCCAAAGGCCAGCGAGTGGCACCTGTGTGGTGCCTGTGGGGTTTGGGAAGAGGTTTCCATAGTCCCACATGGCAGGAGAGGAGTCCACCAGGTGGGGTTTGTTCCACAACTGGGCGCAAGCCACGGCTGCTTGTGCATGTTCTGTGATAGGATTCTGTTTAGGAACTGGGGAGAAATTCCTCCCTGTGAGGGTGGGGAGGCCCTGGCAAAGATTGCCCAGAGGAGTTATGGATACCCCATCCCTGGAAGTGTCCAAGGCCAGGATGGACAGGACTGGGAGCAGCTGGCAGAACCAATTCCTTCCCTTTTCTGTACTACACGTGTTTTTGACAAGTCCTTTGAGCCCAGTTGAATCATTATTTGTTTAAAGCAGCAGGATTTCCTAGGCAAACACCAGCTGGATTTATCACCCTGAGATTTACCATCCATTCCAAATATTTAGAGTTCCCTGGATGGGGTTGGGATTACCTGCACCTTGGCTGAAAGGCAGCCCTGGCCCTTCCAGGGACTCCCCAGGGTCCGGCACTGTTATCCCATGGTTTGTTCACTCCGTGTGCCAGAGGCACCTGGGCATTCCTGGGGAGCTTCAGGTTTGGGATCTCTGGAAGGAGGGACAACTGGGACCCTACAAATGCAGGAGCAGGGAATCTGAGCAGTCTGGCTGCTCTTATGGTCAAGGGAAATCAGGACATCTGTTTCTTTCCATGATTGCTTTGCGGGTTCACTGGCAAAAAGAAGAGTTTTAAGGACTCAGGAGGAGGCTGAGGCTGGATGTCAGCAGGCAGTCACAGATTGGGTTGGGTTGGGAAAGACCTTGAACCTCATCCAGTGCCACCCCTGCCAAGGGGCAGGGACACCTTCCACCAGCCCAGGCTGCTCCAAGCCCCGTCCAGCCTGGCCTTGGACACTTCCAGGGATCCAGGGGCAGCCACAGCTTCTCTGCCCAACCTGTGCCAGGGCCTGCCCACCCTCCCAGCCAGCAATTCCTTCTCAATATCCCATCTATCCCTGCCCTCTGGCAGTGGGAAGCCATTCCCTGTGTCCTGTCCCTCCATCCCTTGTCCCCAGTCCCTCTCCAGCTCTCCTGGAGCCCCTTTAGGCCCTGCAAGGGGCTCTTTCTCTGTGTCCAGAGCAGAGGGGCTCCAGCCTCGGGAGCTTCTCCATTTTAGCACCCTCACTGTAAAAGCTTTTCTTTGGTATCTAATCCAGATTGTCTCTCCTGCATTTTCAAACCTTCAGCCCCTTTGGATCCTTTTGCCTTCCTTCAAGCACAGAGCCAAGGCAGAGCTGCAAACCCCACAGGACATTATGTCTTGCAGTCAAGTGGAACAACCACAGTCTTTAGTCAAACTGTGCCTGTTCCCATTTCTTTCCCCCAGAAAAAGGGAAGAAAAGAGGTAGAGCAGTCAGTTTTCCCTGGTGCCTTTGCAGGTGTAAGTGTGCCCGGTTTGCCTGGTGCTGGGTGACAGTGCAGCAGCAGCCGAGGCCACACGGGAGGAGAACAGGCTGTGAACAGGCTGTGCCAGCCAGGGGTGAGGGACAAATCCAGTGGGATTGAAGTCACAGTAAACTGGACAAGAACAATCTGAGCCTTGGCTGGGGAACGGCCCCACGGCACAGGGTGGGAGGTGCAGCAGGGAAGGAGCTGAAATTACAGAAAGTCCTGGTACAACAAGTCCAAAGGCAGCAACTGTGCCCTGCAGAGCTGCCTCCAGCTCTGGGCTCCAACAGCACAAGGACGTGGAGCTCCTGGAGCAAGTCCAGAGGGGGCCACGGAGATGCTCCAGGTGCTGGAGCCCCTCAGCTCTGGAGCCAGGCTGGGAGAGCTGGGGGGGATCACCTGGAGAAGAGAAGCTCCAGGGAGACCTGAGAGCCCCTTGCAGGGCCTAAAGGGGCTCCAGGAGAGCTGGAGAGGGACTGGGGACAAGGCATGGAGGGACAGGACAAGGGGAATGGCTTCAAACTGCCAGAGGGCAGGGAGAGATGGGATATTGGGAAGGAATTGCTGGCTGGGAGGGTGGGCAGGCCCTGGCACAGGTTGGGCAGAGAAGCTGTGGCTGCCCCTGGATCCCTGGAAGTGTCCCAGGCCAGGTTGGATGGGGCTTGGAGCACCCTGGGCTGGTGGAAGGTGTCCCTGCCCAGGGCAGGGGTGGCACTGGGTGAACTTTGAGGTCCCTCCCAGCCCAGCCCAGTCTGTGATTCCATGGCTGCACATTTACATCCCACCTGAGTTTTCCTTAGTTTCCTTCCCGCTTGCCTTGAGCCAGAGCTGGTGCAGGGGAAGGATGTCCCGAGTGCTGACGTGCTGGATCCAGGGGTGGCTGGCACTGGGACTGGGAGCAGGAGGTGAATCAGGTTGGGGTGGGGCTGGCAGGGCTCGCTCTGTGCAGCACCGGGACGTGCCTGGGCTGGGGGCGGCTGCGCCGGCAGGGAGGGAGAGCGGAGCTGTGGGTGGGGGGAACACAAAGCACCTGGACACGTCACCCCCACGGGCCTCCAAAGGGCAAATTACAGGATTCAAAATCTCAGACCTGCAGCAACTTGCCAGAATGCTCCTTAGGAAGAGGATGTTGTGATAATCCATCCGGGATGGGAAGCTGGCCCGGCCTTCTCTGTGTTTATTTCTCTGGGGATGGATTTACACGGGAATGGTTTCAAAGAGATGGAGCTCTCAGGTGATGGGTCACACCTGGTGTCCACCACGAGGGAGATGGTGCTTGTGTGTCCACTGGGCACTTGGGGAAGGGTCCTGTCCCTCTCCCCCCATCCCAGGAACCCCTGTCCCCCCAGGTGTTGATCCAGTGTGAGCTGCTGGGCAGCACCAAGCCCTGGAATTCGATGATGTGCTTTACATTCCTTCCTCAGGTTTCCACCTCCCAGGGCCCCTTCCCTGTCCCCCCAGCTCTGCCAGTGTGACACACACATTTTAGCTGTGATCAGAGAAGAGTTTGGCTTGGGAGGGACCTTAAAGTCCATTTGATCCAACCCCTGCCCTGGACAGGAACACCTTCCACCAGCCCAGGCTGCTCCAAGCCCCGTCCAACCTGGCCTGGGACACTCCCAGGGATCCAGGGGCAGCCACAGCTTCTCTGCCCAACCTGTGCCAGGGCCTGCCCACCCTCCCAGGGAGAAATTCCTTCCCAGTATCTGGTGTGACTCTCCCCTCGTTGGGTTTAAAAGCAGCGGATACTGAACATTGAGTCAGAGCTCACGTGACTGAGCTGCTCTTTGCTTTGTGGCTTTCTCAGCACACACTTGGGTGAGGATTTGACAAATAGTTACA